CTGGGGAGTCCAAAAAAGATCTTGGAATCAAGTCAGATTTTTATGCAAACTCTGGCTCCTCCTCTACCCAGTTGTGTGACTTTAAGCAAGTTACCTATAACTTCTCCCGGTTACAGTTTCCTCATCTGTTAAATAGAAACAATAAACACTTTGGGGGTTGGTTATAAGTATTAAATGAGACAAGTATTAAATAGCACATGGCAAGTACCTTATATATATATATTTTCTATTATGAAGTGCATAATACTTCTACAAAGGAAATTAGTAGTGTCACTTGGCTCCATCCCCTGCCCCCCCCAAAAGGATTTCCTGTCTTTCCAACTACACCTTTCTCTTTGGCCCCACCCTGCTATCTGAGTCCTGCAAGTGGATACGTGCTCCCCACAGTAAGTGCACCTGACTGGGAAGGGTTTAGGGAGAAAATTCTCTTGCCCCCAAAGTGGGCTGAACCAGAAGGCCATCCTCATTTTGCCAGATCTGTTCCCTCAGGAAAAAAATGAAGACAAAGACAGGGAATTTTGGTATAAAGCAAGAAAACATAAAGAGGATTTCTGCAAATAAATCTGTGTTTTCCAAATACCCTTCTAAGACATTTTATGTACTGATTTTTATTAACAAACACTTATATAATGCTTGCTATGTGTCAGGCACGGTTTAATCCATTTTACAAACATTAACTCACTTAGCTCTCATAACAACCTTATGAGGTAGGTGTTATCATCCCAGTTTGTAGTGAGGGAAAATGACCCACAGAGAGGTTATGCAACTTGCTGAAAGCCACACAGACATGTGGGTGACTTTAAGCCCAGGCATGGCAATAGGGGTAGAAAATTACTGTACTGAAATTTATGGAGAAGAGAGCTGCTCTAAAATGCCTTCTCTTGACAAAGGGTTCAGATATTTTCAAGGGGATTTAAACTTAGGTAAATCAGCAACACCATCATCCATTGTGTAAACTGATGAGACACCTAAGTCCTTGCTTCCCGGGTGAACTCTAGAGAGCTGCCTCATTGGGCCCCCTTAAGACAGTTCTGGCTAGGCCACTTTTCCTTCTTTGATTTATTTCTTTTGACAAACATTTGCTGGGTGTCAACCATGTGCCAAGCACATTGCTAGTTGTAGGGGATGCCAAGATAACAAGTTCTAGGCTCAAGGAACTCACAGTCTAGGGGGGAAAGTGGAGAAATGAACCAACAATCACATATATACCGAAGAAAAGACTCTGCAAGTGTTTCTCTGCCTTTCTCCATGGAAGCGAGCCTCTCCTCTCAACACAGAACCAGAGCCAGCACATTTGTTTACATGAGAGGCAGTTGCCACAAACCATCTACTGCAGAGTGCCTCCTGCTCTCCACCTGGCTTCCTCCTTCCCCACGTCTCCCTCTTGCCTCTCCATTCTTTGGACTTCTTGTGCTCCTTCCTTTCTTTTTTCCTCTCCTTTTGCTTTTCTTGAGTCACCTACAGACCTTCCCAGGGCCTCTCCCCCAAGCACTTATTCTCTGAGCCTATGTGTCTTGGGAAACTGAC